ACAATCTTCATTATCCTTCTTACCTTAATTTTGGATATCAAGATAAATCTGAAATTATAAAATTAATTATAGAATCTGTATTATTATTAACACTGAAAAAAAAAAAAAATTCAACTGCAAATAATTCGAAAATAAACTGCAATTTGGCAACATCGACGATGTGCGCCTGCGTAGTATCGATGATCAAATGCAGCAAATATGGCCTTCAAAGGTCAGCCACCGGATCCACACTTTTACCAAAGAGTAGATAAGACAAGAGACGACAGTTCGCGCGGTACCTTTCATGTTTGAGGTGGTGGGAGAGTGACCTCGTCTCGCTTGTCCCTCTTTAAATTTTCGTAACTTTTTCGCGGGAAATTTGAAATAGACTATTATTAAAATTTGCCTGTATAGCTTATAAATAGTTACTGTGTGTGGTAAAGAGATAAATAGAAACGAAAAAAAAAGAAATTTTCTAAATATTATATAAAATAAATTATAATTAGAAACATATTTGTCGGGGAATAAAGATAATAAAAGCAATATTTTGTATATCGTTGGTAAACAAGAGAAAGTGACCAAGTCGATTTGTAAGAAATGTTTTATTTACGTGTATTTTTTTTACATATGGACTTGAACAAGTGTAATATCACAATGTGGAGTTTATCAAAAAAATAGAGTTGCTCAATTTTTATTTAATAAATCCTCGCAATTATATAGTATATTTCTATAAAAATACTTTTCAGGATCCTTTGGAAAAGAGTAAAATATTATGTTTGTCGAAGAACAAGACCTATTTTTGCAGTCTTTATAAACACACACAATGCCACCATCTCGTCTTTTCCTGCTAACAATAATTACAAATTAGAATGCTATAAAAACGATACTAAAATTAAACCTTAAAAACTCTCAAATCGATAATATATCGAAAATCTCTGAAAACACACACTTTAAAAGGCAAAAATGCAAGAAAACAACTAATCAGATTTGTTTATGTTTAAGCCTGATTAGCACAGCTGATTAGCGTCCTAAAATCTTAGGTTCGAATAAATAAAATGCGCAGTTGTCAGATTTTCAGATTTTATCTGTTTATCTTCGAAATCGACCAACTTTAGTCATTCTGTTTCTTTGATATTATCAGTACATTGCGAAAAAAGAACCTAAACCAACCTAAACTAAAAATTTACATTTCCGTATTAACATACGTTACTTTATATCCTTCTTATATTATTAATTTATTTTCAGAAAATCTTGTTAATTTTTCAAAGAAATATACTTGGCAACAGACAAAATGGGACTTGATGGGACCTTTAAATTTTAATATATCTGCGTCTCTCTCGCGAAATTCGACTTCTTTGTTCACTGTCGTCTCTTGTCTTATCTACTCTTTGCCTTTACCTTATTTCTAGATATTATGCATAAAAGACTAAAAAAATATATTTCATAATTATTTATTTATTTTTAATTCTAAATAAAAATACTGATTTAAATCCCTCTAGTTTTTAAAAATTAAAGAAACCTGCTTTTCATCATTTTCTATTAAAATCTAACAATTTTCTTCAGTGTGAAATGCTGTTCAAGGCGCACGGATGTCAAACGTGACGTCACGCAATTAGTTCCCATTTGACCAATGCTATTCAAAGCTCTTTGCAAGGCTCTTTGTCGCTTCTGTATGGTGTGTATATTCTGTGGTATTACCACAGGCAATGCCGTCTCTTAATAGAACAGCCATCGACCCTGGAGCGAGATTTATGACGTCACGCTAGTTAGATACTGCGGATTAATAAATATGTTGTAGAATACATGGAAAACATAATTATTCCTCAGATTTTTGGTTTGTATTTTAAAAATGATATAGTTTACATGAAATATACATAATATACAGTTAATAACTACAACATATATACTTATTTATAGTAATAAATACTTTGGCAAATAAACTATGAACCATACAAATGCAGAAAATGTTTTACAATATACAAATAATGTATTACATATATATTTTAAATTTTGGGGTTTGAAAATCGATCTAATTTAAGAAAAAACATTCAATATCTACTAATAATGATGTATTATTATTTGCATTCACAAAATTTATATGTATATTTTGCAAGTATCAATGTTCGAAAATTATATTTACAAATAATACAATATCATCTAAAAAGGCGTCAGCGATGGCTATGAAATGAAGATCGCTGGCATTTTATATGTAAATTATTTAAAATTTTTGATTTTCTTGGGATTTTTTAGGTTCGGGAAAAACAACTGATTTAAGTTTTCATTTGGGTTTTCATTATTTTTTATTTGTTTAAAAAAAAAAAACGCTTTGTATAGCCTTCATCAGTGTTGTGTCATATGAAAAAAATAGTGTCGAATATAATCCAAAAATTACTATATAAAATTTTCACACCACATAATGTTTACTGCAATTAATAAACTAATATAAACTTATCAAAAGATACCACATATTTTTAGAATTACTATTCTTAACAGTAAAACTATCTACATTGACTATGGAGTACGCAGTAAACATTATGTGGTGCGTGGTGTGAATATTTTATATGTAATTTTGGATTATATTCGACATTATTTTTTCTTCTATATGACACAACACTGATGAAAAAAATAATGTTAGCCGAAAAGGTTTTTTTAAAACCAAATAAAAATAATGAAAAACCAAATGAAAACTTAATCAGCGTTTTCCCGAACCTAAATCCCAAGAAAATCAAAATTTAGAAATGTTTAGAAACACGGTTGAAGAATATCAAATTTTCCAAGATTGTAAAAATTCTAGTTAATTATTTTTTTATGTGTACAATTATTTAGGGAATGTCATCGATGTTCATTTCAAAGCCAACTAGACGCCGATTTTTTCGATGATGGGTATAATTCTTACACATAAAATGTAAATAACATTCGACCAATTAAAACAAAGAAATATGAATTTCTTAGTATATTTTAGTAACACCTTTTATTCTTAAACTTAATTTTGTATTGCAAATATACCAATTTTATTGTTATTTTTATTCATATTGTATTCAGCCATCACTTAAATATTTGATATTAATTTGGTATTATAAATAATCAACACTATTCAGTAAAATTACTGAACAAATATATGTTATGCTTTACATACATTATATTATCTAACAAAAACACATTCTTCTTTTAAACTTTATCATTCTTGTCTTTACAAAAATCTTTTTTAATTCTTTATTTTTCCCTAGAACATAATACCTACTTACGTGTTTATCTTACGTGTTTGAATCTTGGAGTGGAGATTCCACAATATGAATATAATATATATATATATATATATATATATATATATATATATATATATATATATATATATATATATATATATATATATATATATATATATATATATATATATATATATATATATATATATATATATATATATATATATATATATATATATATATATATATATATATATATATATATATATATATATATATATATATATATATATATATATATATATATATATTCCACAATATAAACATAATTGTCCAGTTTTCCAGTTTTCTTCAATACCATCCTGGGAGAATATTATTTTAAATTTATTTAAGATATTTTCAATAGAATTGTCTTGATTTATAACTCGTACCCACTTTTTCTTGCTCTTCCGGATATTTTAAGCTGCCTAGTATAACTATCCTTTCCACCAGGAACACAACAAAGAAGGTGAGCCAAAGCACCAAAAACACACTCCGCTTAAGCTTTATTGATGAATTGTTAGAGTCTTAAAAACACACACAAAAAATCACGATAAATAAAAAATATGGGCACTTTTAGGTTAAAGCACTTAACAAAACGTGTAATATTTCGTGTTTTTTATGAGAAACAGAGTGACCATCATAGCGACCATATATCTGGTAGTACTTTTATGTCACTTAAACACCAAAATAATTAGTTTTTTGCACTACAATAACAAATAATACTAAAAATCAACCGACAAAATATGAATACAGAATCTAACCCAATATCTAAGTATGTACAGCTGATGAAGTAAACAAAAGTCCGCCCGAAGGCTGATCTTATATAGAGGGCATTGCCACAGGTATTACTCTTGTATTACTAATTACTGACAACCACAGAACAGCTGACAACTTTATTGTTCCGCCGTTCCGCCATCTTCTTTCGTCTTTCTTTTGACAGACAGACTTTTTAAGCCCTGTTCTCAGAACTGCAAGTCATGTCGACAGCGACACTGATTGACACTTCAAACGACCAATGGGAGCTGTAACTAAATTTAAAATTGACAGCTGTTTGAATTTGTACAAATCTCATTGGTCCTCTTGACGTGTCGCTGGCGACAGTCGCTGTTCTGACGGGCTTAAAGCCCCCGTTCTCAGTTTAAGCCCCGTCAGAACAGCGACTGTCGCCAGCGACACGTCAAGAGGACCAATGAGATTTGTACAAAATTCAAACAGCTGTCAATTTTAAATTTAGTACAGCTCCCATTGGTTGTTTGAAATGTCAAACTGTGTCGCCAGCGACACGACGTCGTTCTTTAAGCCCCGTTCTCAGAACTGCGACTGTCGCCAGCGACACGTCAAGAGAACCAATCAGATTTGTACAAAATTCAAACAGCTGTCAATTTTAAATTTAGTACATTTTTTGCTTAAAGCCCCGTTCTCAGAACTGCGTCCAATGAATAAAGAATCACAGGAACGAGCATAACATCGGTGCGATCAGAGTGGAGGTTACATATGGCCGACCCACGTGGTCGACCTGTTTTCGTTGTAGCAGTGGCGTAGAGTAATAATTATGAATAAGTCACGAAAAAAAAATAAAAAGGATAAACTTTGGCAGATCAGAGTTTTAATATTTTTTTAGTTTTATATGTCATTTAATATAGAATTAATTTGTTTATATTTAACGGATTATAAATGAATTAGCGATTGAACGTAGGTAATATTATTATACCTACATATTATTATGTAACTTAAAAAAGGGAAAACGGATGGGAAAAGTAAATAAATAAAAAGTCAAAAATACAAATTTATTGGCCTTTAAATAAAATTAATTTCGTATACATTGTGTGTACACTACTGTTTTTGGGGATAAACTCAGGGTTTTTGACAAAATTTACCCATTGCGATCTTCTCGTCTGATTTTTAGGAAAGCTAGAACAAAAGTATAATTTTAAAAAGATTATTGAAAATACCTATTGTCATATTTAACCCCGGGTCACCTTAAACCCCAATAATGAAAGTATTTTCTTTTTGTAGTTTTGTACAGTTAAAAATTTGTCTCTGAAATATATTATAATAATATGATAATCAATATCCAAGTTTTTAACCCAAACAGTCAAAACACAAACCCTAAGTTACGCCTATGATCCTAGGCAAGCTTTGTCATTTGTAGTTTTGTACAGTTAAAAATTTGTCTCTGAAATATATTATAATAATATGATAATCAATATCCAAGTGTTTAACCCAAACAGTCAAAACACAAACCCTAAGTTACGCCTATGATTCTAGGCAAGCTTTGTCATTTGTAGTTTTGTAGGTTAGGTTAACCTTTACAAAGCAGTTAAATAAAATAAGCTTTTATTGGCTTAAAAATTCTTACCTGTGAAATGTAACACCATCATCTTTATGTTTTGGTGTCAGGGAATAGCCACAAGCGGCACAGCTAACCATGTTTTCGGTTACTGGAATTTGGCCTCTGATTTGGCGAACTGGGGCGATAAAAATGACAACAGAATGAGTCATACTCGGAGGACCAATATGGCCGATTTTGTCTCGCGCATACTTTAGTGACAGATACGAAACGCTCGTTCCTGTGTTTTTTTATTCATTGACTGCGTCGTGTCGACAGCGACACTGATTGACATTTCAAACGACCAATGGGAGCTGTACTAAATTTAAAATTGACAGTTGTTTGAATTTTGTACAAATCTAATTGGTGCTTTTGAAGTGTCGCTGGCGACAGTCGCAGTTCTGAGAACGGGACTTTAGGATGCAGCCACACTATCCTAAAAACGGCGTATCGGCGTAACAGCGTAACGACCTTGAATCGATTTCCAGTAATTCTATTGGCTGAAATTTTTGACAGATGAATTTGACAGATAAAATTTCTGATAGATGAATGTTTCAGCCAATAGAATTACTGGAAATCTATTCAAGGTCATTACGCCGTTACGCCGATACGCCGTTTTTAGGATGGTGTGGCTGCACCCTTAGAGCTAGTGTTGCACACACGCCGGAACCGGATAGACGGCACCGGCTACCAGGGTTCGGAAGTAGTTAATTAAGACATAATTTACCTGATTAACTACGTGTAGTTTTTCTTCAAAAACTACGCCCTTTCCCGTTCGTTAACTACATGAAAACTACGTTAATAAACTACCTATTGATATTATAAATAATTTTGCTTTATATGAAGAGTCTAAATAATAGGATGTAAATGGTTATATTTAAAGCCATATTTCTTCTGTTTTCTTAAATACATTATGTGTTTTCTAAAGCTTTAACTTATTATAACCTCACCTCATACCTTTGACATTTGAAAGTTACATACATATGTTACATAAACTACATTAACTACATGTAATGTAGTTTATGTAGTTTTTAAAAGTAACATGTAGTTTTCAGAACCTTGCCGCCGACACGCAAACGTATCGGTCCTTGAAAAAGATAGCTACGGGAGCGTTGAAGTCATGATTACTATATCCCGCTTAAGATGCTGGTCACCGCTGGTCACATGCGTGGGAAGCAACAAAAACCTCATACCAAAATTTCTTCTTTACGGTGAGCTTGTAGACGGTAAGAGGAAACCGGGTGGACAACTCGATCAAAAGGTACAAGGATATTTTCCATGAAAACTTAAAGGAGATAAGCATGGAGAAGAATTGTAAGCTCAGTTAACAACGATAACCAAAAAGTAAAGAGGCAACAAAGTAATTAAATTTTTGAATGTCCGGAGTACGGATAATCTTAATAACGATTGGCAACATTGCACAAAAAATTTAAGCAGCGCGGTAACAAGGCGGTAACGAAGACGACGAAATCACAGTCGAAATGCTGTCGAACGCCGATGCTTCCGGGTATTTACCTGCACCCAGGGTTCGGAAAACTACATGTTACTTTTAAAAACTACATAAACTACATTACATGTAGTTTATGTACAGAATGTAGTTTATGTAACCTATGTATGTATGTAACTTTCAAATATCAAAGGTTTGAGGTGAGGTTATAATAAGTTGAAGCTTTAGAAAACACAATGTATTTAAGAAAATAGAAGAAATATGGCTTTAAATATAATATTCACACATCATATTATTTAGACCTCTCATACAAAGCAAAATTATTCATAATATCAATACATAGTTTATTAACGTAGTTTTCATGTAGTTAATGAACGGGAAAAGACGTAGTTTTTGAAGAAAAACTACACGTTGTTAATCAGGTAAATTACGTCTTAATTATTAAGGTATTATTACGTCTTAATATGTTATTATTACGTCTTAATATGTTATTATTACGTCTTAATATGTTATTATACGTCTTAATATGTTATTATTACGTCTTAATATGTTACATTGCATGTAGTTAATGTAGTTTATGTAGATGGTGTAGTTTATGTCACTTATGTATGTAACTTTCAAATATCAAAGGTTTGAGGTGAGGTTATAATAAGTTGAAGCTTTAGAAAACACATAGTGTATTTAAGAAAACAGAAGAAATATGGCTTTAAATATAACAAAAAACATTCACATCATATTATTTAGACTCCTCATACAAAGCAAAATTATACATGATATCAATAGTTAGTTTATTAACATAGTTTTCATGTAGTTAATGAACGGGAAAAGACGTAGTTTTTGAAGAGAAACTACATGTAGTTAATCAGGTAAATTACGTCTTAATTAACTACATCCGAACCCCGCTCTCAACGATATCTATGGGTGCTCCGGCTCCCCAGTCTGTAAATAAAGGTGTTCTGTGGACCTCTGGACTGAAAACTGAAATTAATCCCGGGATCCCGGGTTTATTTAATCGTGGGTGGCCGGGAATAAATTTTTTATTTTTTTAAACTTCCCGCCATGCGTTACAATCTAGTCCGTAGTTCCTACAAGCGATATTGGGGGCGCTAGTAGCAGTAGACTTGTCAACAGTGTCAAATTTAAACGTCAATTTCACTTTCCAATATTTAGCAAGGCGCTCGCACTTCTCCTTGTGTATGTGTTTTGTGGTCTCTGCTGCAGTTGATTGATATCAAAAATTACGATATGTATGGCATAATTCTTTATACATGGGTTCAAACCTTGGTTCAAACAGTGATTAACGCAAGATCCTGAAATATTTTCTCGTGAAAAATTGGATCTAATAAATATGGAAGTTAAAATGAATAAGGTAGATATACAGGGTATAGGTCTCAGTATAGGGTATAAGGTAGATAATACAGAATACTGAATACTCCTGTGTTAACAAAATAAACTTATTTAGGTATACCCTTATTTGAAGCCTTGAAAAAGTTACGTTCTTATGTGTTAATATTTGTAAATGAAGTATTGTATTTATTAAGAGTGTCTCAGGTGTGATCCTCCACTGCTGCTGCAGGGGCCTATTGTGGCTCAGTTCTACAATCTTTAAAATTCACCCACAATACCCAACCTTTTAATAAGTATAGGCTTTAATATTCAAGGCTGATGTCACCAAGATCTGACAAATCTAGCATGTTTTGCTAGACAACTCAAAACTGGCCCTGCTCCTACCCAGGCATTGTAAATAAAGTACTTTTATATAATTTAATGGGATTTACACTTGAGGTTAAACCATATTTCATTATAATTCTAAAAATAAAGCAAGTGGTGTTTTTGCAGTTTATTTAGTTGCAGAATACTTTGATATTTTTAATTACACACTTGAAACTCAATTGGACTTACAATATCTTTTTTAACATGGCAGAATATACAACCAAAATCTTATTTATGCAAATAAATTATTTCTATTTTCAGACATTTGCTACTCAGGAATTAGAAGTGTATGATCCTAAAACACATGTCTTGGTACCAAAACCTAGTGAAGTATTGAAAAGAGGAATTTTTCCAACCACTGTGGAAGTTAAATCTGATGAATCTTCTGTAAATTTGCTTTATCAGATTGTATATCCTGATGATTTAAACTTAAAAGTAAGATCTTTAAACTAATATATGACATACGACTAAAGAATTTTATGATACAACAGCTAAATTGATATGGTAAGTTACTTTGAATAAAAAGATTAAGAAAGGAGTATTATGCTATCCATGTAATCGTGCATGGTGGACCGAATTGACATCAAAGGTTGTGATGACTGTGTTGACAGTTTTGTTTGGCATTTTAATTGAAACATTTGAATTTGATTTTTGTGAGTATGTTTGTCTTTATTGAGCTTATTTTATGTAATTTATTATTCTACAATTGGTTTTATTTAGTGGTAGTAAATCTAGAAGGAAATTGTCTCAGAACTTAAATTAACAGTGACACTATTGTGATTTATTAGTAAGTGACTATATAATATACATACTTGTAGTAAACCGATCATTTATGAAATTTACTTACGAAATATCTAATTTCATATTTTCTCTTGCATTTTCACTTTTATTATTTAATACTTGTCATAAATAATTAAGATACATTAATTTGACTTGTGCTTCTCTAAAGTATACAATGTTTGTGTTATGAAATAATTATTATAAGTTATCTATTTTTATTACATATATCTATTTTTATAACAATTTTAATAACTACTAACAATAATTATTGACAATAGAATAACACATATTCTTGGATCTACCCTACTATTATAAGTTTTGGATAAAATTAGAATGGCACTGATAAACCAGAATTTAAGTTGCAGAGTTTTAGGTCCCTAATCTTTTTATTCAAAGATAAATTACATTAGATACCTTAGGTGTCAAATCCCTTTTCACGTTGATCAAATGCATGTGGTAACACAAACTGGTAATTACCAAAGCTAGATTCTCAGATTGTCAAAAAATCTTCAGGTAGGTATAGTATTTCCGAAGTCAATTGGAAGTACTGAGAGTCTTAATTCTGTTTTCCCGACGATGCCGATAAAGACAGTGCCGATATTAAGAGATCCAATCTATTCCAACTGACTTCAGATAAACTATATGTATTAACAGATGCTTTAGAAATTATACAGGGTGGTCCGAATTGTATTCCGGAAAATTCGGCAGCATATTCTGCAGATAAAAATAAGTAAAAAAATTTGTATAAATGTATGTCGTAAGATGCTTAGTTTTGGAGATACAGGGTTTAGAAGTTTCATTTTTATTTCAATCTTTTTCAAGTTATTTCTGAAGTAATCTCATTTGATTTTGATATCAACATGACTCCTACTTAAAGAGGGCGCCACCTACATGTGTTTTAACCAAATACGTTTAAAATAAAGTATACGGAGGGTACCGCTTAAATTCCTGTCCCGATATTGAAGGATGGCTATAGAATTTCAATGCATTTCCTACATAAGCCTATCCTTGGTTTGTAGGAGGTTTGACTAAACAAGGATGAACCTATGTCTTGAACATTCGACTCGATTTTCTGTCCTCCTTCAATACTGGGACGTAAATCCTCTCATTGCTCTTATGGGGAGGCCGTCGTATATTTTATTTAAATGTATTTGGTTTTAACTGTTTTGAAGAGTAATAACTTTTCGTGCGTACCTGTATAAAAGTACTCACTGAAAAAATAAGAACTTTTTTACATATTTTTATCTGCGGAATATGCTGCCGAAGTTTCCGTAATACAGTTCGGACTACCCTGAATAAAAAAAATGTTTTTTGCATTTCTATTATCATATTTTGATTTAAATTAGCCTGCACCAGTTTCGTTGAAACCAAGAGGAAGACCTAAGAAATTGAGAGTACCCACAGATATCTCCACTGAGAAATCTAAAATTAGAGTTGTTGCAAGAACTCGATCTGGAAGAGCTGTAAAGTTGCCAAAGCATATCGAAAACGTAAGTTAAAATTCGCTGTTGTCGTTCGTTACCATCACAAGACGACATACATTGTTATTATTGCCATTTTCAGAAAAATGCTTTCTTCATAAAATTTTTTGCTTGTCTGTAGCGGTTAATCCCGTTTATACTTTCCCAAATTTCCATAGCGTTTTAGAGAAAATTAAAAAAAAAAACATGAAAATATAATTAATTTTTTTAAACGTTATAAAAGTATTAATTTTTGCGACGTGATCGACAATATAAAAAAGTAATAGAACAAACACCTAGGTATAAAAGTTAAGCACTTTTCTGTGTAAGCAAAATAGTACGAAAATATATTATTAAATTGGGATAAAGTGTCAATTTCAACCAGTGTAACTATAGTTTCTTGATACACAATATATCCCAGGGGCGCTATTCTGTACAATCGTCGGTATCGGCAAGTTTTTAGAATTTAGAATTTAGAATGAGTGGGAGGGGGGTTAATCATTTCGACCTTACAGATCCATTGTGTCCCCCTTTCTTGAATCATAACTCATCATACAGTCCCAGGGCTTTGACAAAAGCCAGTATCTGGGACGGTTTTATAGAGGGTAGTTCTCCATCTCCAATATCAGTCGTACCAAAATTTATGGCACGAATGGTTGTCAGGGCACGGTAGAGATACCGATTTTCGTCGGTACAAATTTGCGATATCTGCCATAGGACCGATCGGTAACTATGACAACAACAATTAACATATTTTTACTATATACAAATACGTATCGAGAGCTGTCGTAACTTACCGATACCGACGATTTTACAGAATAGCGCCCCAGGATTGTCTTTACAAGAGAATTTTTTTTATTATTGATATTTTGAAAAAAAATGCATTCTTCATAAAAAAAAATGTTGTCTGTTTTCTTTATACTTTTCCAACCGTTATTGAGAAAATTAAAAAAAAACATGAAAATATAATTATTTTTTTTAACGTCATAAAAGTATTAATTTTTGCGACGCGATCGATAATATAAAAAAGTAATTTTAACACTAACACACTTGACATTTTGAAAAAATCCATTCATAAAAATTTTTGCTTGTTGTGAAACGGTTAATCTCGTTTATCCTTTTTCACAAATTCTATACCCTTTTAGAGAAAAACTAAAAATAAAAGGGCGTTTCTATGATAATATTAAAATAATATTAAAACTCACAGACTAATGTCATGTACTACAGACATGTAGATGGGACACTGCAGTGGCGGATACAGAGCCCCCTCCCCCCTAAAATCTATGAATTTGGTTAAATGCGGCTTTTGGGTTAAAAATGGTACCCTAAAAAGCTAAAACAAATTCCTGTATCCCCCCCTGGGATACTGAATAGAACAAATAAATCCCTCATTTCGAGCCACCTGTTGATTTTCTAACTCAACCGACACCGATTTTTTTTTCGTAAAATGGTCCTTTAGTAACATGGTCCTAGTATTTACTACATTTTTTGTCTCTTGTAAAAAAAACGCCACCGCGCATACTTTTTGAAAAAAAAATATTTTCACCAATTTTATGTTAGTATCACAAATTATATTTGACAGTAACAAACATAAAACGCTTAAAAAAATTAATAAATTTTAAATTAATTAATGTTCGGGTTTATTTTTGATTGATGCCCTCTAACGGATAAACGAAGCACTTTTGTATCAAGGTAAATTATGTGCAATCAACGTATTTTGGTTCAAAATATACGTAGTTGTCCTATGTACACAGACTATTTGAACTCCTTGTATATTCTGTAGGTCTGCTTTAGAAAAATACATTTTCCAAAAGAAACTTTCTCAAAAACTAGGCGATGTGGCGTTTTTTTTACAAGATACAAAAAATGTACTAAATACCAGAAGGGCCATTTTAGGAAAAAATCAGTCGCTGGTGACGTTGAAAGAAAGTTTGATGCCCTCTAACGGACAAACGAAGCGCTTGTATAGAGGTAAATTGTGTCTAATGAACTTATTTTGATCCAAAAATACGTAGTAGTACTATGTCCACGGAATACTGGGACACCCTGTATATTAAAAATAGCATAGACTCCTAATCAACTATTACTAAAAGTAATACAGGGTGGCCCATCGAAAACGTTCCGCAAGGCATAACGGTCAGGGTAATTTTTTTTCAGAAAATTCAAAAACACGTCAATTTTTTTTGTGAGGGGGACAACTTTTGCCCCAAAAATGATTGCAAAATATTCAACCCTCTAAGCGGGGGTATCGTCCCCCAACTTTTTTCAAATAGGAAGGGGGTCAAGTGGTACTGCAATGAAAAGGGCTTTCTATTCTCTATACTTTCCCTCTTCGTTTTTGAAAATCGGTCGAGTCATTGAGAAAATATGAAGGATTGAAATTTGAAAAATTTATTTAAACATTTATTAGAGTAAATGATAAGGATAAATTCCTTCGATCAATTTGCTGTTTTTTCTTATTATTTTCAGATGTTTACGCATTTTTTCACTTGCCACAAGGTTGAACGATCAGGTGCGCTAGTTGCTAGATAGCTATTCTGTGACTTGTGCGTTGAAGTTCTTCTCAGTATAACCTTTTAACAATTATGGTGTACTCGCTTACAGAAAAAGTGGAAATAATCGAACTTTATTTTAAAAATAATGAATGTGGCAATCGGGTTGCGCAGATATTCAATGAACGCCATCTTGACAAACACCTTAATGGCAAAATTGTTCGCGAGTTAGCAGCAAAATTTCGCGAAACTGGTTCCGTTATAAATAAAAAGAGGCAGAGGGAAATCCTGTAGTAAATGAAGCTATGGAGGTATTCGTATTGGGCCAAGTTGCCATGGATAGTACGCTGAGTACAAGAAAATTAGCCATTGAGACAGGCGTCAATCGTTTAAGTGTTCAAAGGACATTAAAAAAAACACAAGTTCCACCCATACAAAATTCAGTTGGTAGATTCAACGAAGAGGATTTTGATCGTTGCTTGCAATTTTGTAAAACTATGAGTGAACGAGTGGCGAATGATAATTTCCTATTTAATGTGTATTTTTCGGATGAGTGTATTTTCTTTTTGAACGGTGTAGTTAATCCGCACAACTGTCGGTACTGGGCTGAGGACAACCCCAGGGATTTTCACGAGTTGGACACACAAAACCATCAGAAATTGATCGTGTGGGCTGGTATTTTTGGAAATCCTATTGTAGGTCCTTTTTTTCTTCCTGGAAATCTAACAGGTGATATGTACTTGGATTTACTGGAAAATACCATCGACCCAGCCCTAACTGACATCATAGAGAACAATCCTGGATACGTTGAAGCGGAACTAATATTTCAACAAGACGGCGCACCTCCACATTACTCTCAAAATGTGCGTAATTATTTAAACAATAACTTTCTCGGTCGATGGATAGGACGAAGGGGTGCAATTGAATGGCCTCCCCGGTCACCCGACTTGACTCCTTTAGACTTTTTTCTATGGGGACACAAAAAGTAAAGTGTGTAGCACTTCACCCGCCTCATTTGAAAATAATTTGTATTACTGTCTGGAGGTTGACGGGCAACATTTTCAGCATTTGCTTCATTAATAAGGTAAGTTTTTTAATTAATTCAATTTATGCGTTTTTTTCCAAAAAGTACTTTTTATATTTCAATCCTCCATATTTTCAAAATGACTAGACCGATTTTTAAAAGCGGAGCGGGGAAATATAGAAAATAGAAAGCCCTTTTCATTGCGGTGCCACTTGACCCCCTTCCCATTTGAAAAAAAGTTGGGGGATGACACCCCCGCTTAGAGGGTTGAAGATTTTGCAATCATTTTTGGGTCAAAAGTTGTCCCCCTCACAAAACAAAATTGACTTGTTTTTGGATTTTTTTGAAAAAAAAATACCCTGGCCGTTATGCCTTGCGGAACTTTTCCGATGGGCCACCCTGTATTACCAACTCTGTCTTTATTTATTATTATTTATGATTAAGCTATTTATGTCATAAAAAATACGTCTTTCGGAAAAAGGGTGGTCCGAACTGTATCTGGGAAACTTCGGCAGCATATTCTGCAGATAAAAATAAATAAAAAAGTTCGTATAAATGTATGTCCTAAAATGCTTAGTTTCAGAGATACAGAGTGTAGAAGTTTCATTTTTATTTAATAATTTAATAATTAAAAATAATTATAATATTATATAATTATATAATAAATTAATTAAAGATTTTTTCTAAATAATTTCTGAAGTAACGTCAATATTTGGATGAAAATTGGTGTCTAGGAGTTTTTTGACATGAGAAATTTAATTTTGATGTCAATATGACTCTACTGGTAGAGGGCGCCACCTACATGTGTTTTAACTATTTTGAAGCTTATAACTTTTTGTTCGTACCTGTATAAAACTACTGAAGGAAAAAATATACATCTCTGTGACTTTTTTAATTAAATATACATCTCTGCGACGTAAAAAATATCTCTTAGTAAAAATCGGTACTAGTAACCGTTCTCAAGATATTTAGAATGGAAATAGTCAATACATGGCATTATTGACGAAAAATATACGTTGAATAGATAGTTATTTCACTGAAATAATAAATTTGGCAAATTTTTATTTTTTTAAATTAATCATAAATTTTTCTGCAAAAAAATGGTGATAAAACAGTTTCTGTTGAACTTTTGACACAAAAACTTTCAAATTTATGATCTCAGTCTAATAACTATGTTCAATTTGTGTCAATTATGACAGGTATTGATAATTTCGATTCCAAGTATCTCTAAAACCAATACTCGTAGTGATTTTTACCAAGAGATATTTTTTACGTAAAAGACGTCGTAAATGTATATTTTTTACTCAGTAGTTTTATACAGGTACGGACGAAAAGTTATTACTCTTCAAAACATTCAAAAAATATATAGGTGGCGCCCTCTACTAGTAGGAGTCACATTGACATCAAAATTAAATTTCTTATGTCAAAAAACCCCTAGACACCAATTTTCATCCAAATATTGACGTTATTGCAGAAATTATTTGGAAAAAATCGAAATAAAAATGAAACTTCTA